TTTTTAATCTGCTGCGTGATGTCAGAAAACGTCTCATTGCGTATTAGCATAAATTACCTCGACTCGGGGTAAAACAAAACTAACTGTTTCCCTCGGGACCATACATTTAGTGTAGCAAATGCAATTTTTTTTTTATAACTTCTCCACTATGACTTAGATAAGACACTTTAAAAAGCTTGACAGATCGCTTCTCTTTACGGATTTTGTCCCATCTCCCCTAAAATAATATCGCTCCGGAGAATTCATGAGAATGCCTTGCACGATTTTATGCTATTCATCACAATCATAAAGAGATGAAATAAAGAAGCCAGAGTATATGCTGGTCTACTTTCATTTCTTTTCAATTTCTATTTTATCTTGCTTTAAGTTTTTGTTCGTTTGTAGATTTTGTTAACTCGATCTGTTTCAATTTTCCATCACATTTCTTACAACTTTTAATACAGTAGTTAGCTTTCGGGTTTAGGAAACATTTAGGGATGAACCTGGTGTGTTGGAAATTTAGTTCCTACTCCTATTTTCTACTGTACGTTATCTCAATTTCGTAATAGTCCTGTAAATGTTCGCATTCTATGAAATTTAATGATCAGTTTGCTTCCCTTAACATTTGTTTGAAAAAAAAATTACATTCCTTCCGCGAATCCTTTGTCATTCGCGTCAAGTACCTGCAGTTTTTAAATGGACGTTATAATTATTTACACATCCAGATGTAGATGCTACTCAGAGGGAAGTGATCGAAGTAGTTTGTTCGTTCATAAAAGGCCTTATGCAAAAACAGTTTTAGCAAATTATTTAGAAAATAATCCTCGATAAACTCCTTTTTTTAATTTTCTTTTTTAAGATGGATGATTTGGTGCAAAGTGCGTTTACTTTTCTCAATCCAAGGTTGTTTGTTGAATTTACTTTTGTCAGTAAATGCATATGGTGTTTATATAATAAACAAAAAAATAGATGGTTCCCCGTAGATATGGAATTTCCTGTTTCGTGTTCAACACTCACGAGTGAGTGCAGTGAACGAGAAGAGAAATTATCTACGCGCGCCCATCTATTGTGCTTCGTGATTAAACGCAAAGGTACATCTGGAAGACAATAATGGCTAGAGTGGGAATAGTGGTAATTAGACCTAATAAATTATTAAATTCCCCATTATCCCCATAAACATCCTTGTTAACCTTGAAGCTTATCCGCAATTAGAAGAATGTACATACCAAAGAAGGCCTAACTATCAGTGTGTTAAAGACCTTGGAACTTCGAGAACATGTGAGGACATGTAAATCAAGCATCACTAACGCAAGAAATTACCTAAAGCTTGATCATGAAACTCAAACCACTTTCTTACTTAGATATAAAAGTAAATATGTTCATAACTAAACTCAGGGTCAGGAAACAAAGCAAAGAAAACTTGGAGAATCTCGCACAATCATCGATCAAGCTTGAACTTGTCGGGGAAAAGGAATTTAACCTTTTTTCTGATAAACGACCACCACCACGACCGTTATGCATCATAGAATTGATAAATAATATCGGAAAATAATGATTCAAAGTTTTCTTCTGATATTAGTTAACCTCATCATTATTTTAACGAAACGTGGCTGAGATTAGGAATGCCCCACTTTTTTTCATAATCCCTCTCAAGAATTGGAAGGTAAAGAATCCAAAAAGAACACCATTCACAGACGCAATTTTTGACTACAGACAATATCGAAAAAACAAGGAAAACAGGTTGTCATAGCCCTCTTAGATATGTTTACAGGATGCGTCTGTTATAGACACGATATGCAAAAAGGCGGTCGTCAGATTCCAACAGAATAAAGGGAGTTTTAAGTAGTTTAAGAACACCTGGAGGAGGGAGATTTCCACACGCCAAATTTTTGTAATATTGTTCTAAGGACTGATTTCGGTGTCTGATAGGTATGTTAACATGTAAAGATAAATAATTATTCTTAAGAGACCCAATTCTCTCCATCGAGCGAAGCGGTTAACATTCATTTGCGTCATTTGCTTTAATTTCCGCATAGAACTGACAGCTGTAAGCTTTTTTCTTTAATTTATTATCATAAAACGGTTGCGTTCACAAAAAAAAACAGGTCGATTTTGGAAGTTGAATCCACTGATGAGGGCTGGTTATCAACTTTAACTTATGCCATGCATGCGGGGTAGAAACAGAAAACCGTTACCTCGAAGCTGGCACGGAATTTATCTCATTTTTCATGATAGTAGCCTAGAATGTATTATTGAATTATAGAAAAGGTGAGTCGCAGACGGCGAAGAAAGTTTTATCCTTCGATTCACGGATGAGAGCAACCTTATTTCTCCTTTATTCTCTTTTGCTGATACAAAAAGAGTTAAGGTAACAGCAACTAGCAAAGACTAAGTCAAAAACCGACAACTATGGCTTGTCCTAATGGAAATTAGCATAAATTTCCTCTTTCTATGATCATCGGTCTAAATAACCAAAGACGATCATGTAAACTAGAATATGAAACTTTGAATTTTCAGGCACCTGTATAATGAAGAAAGCGAAAAAAGGTTTATAGAGGAAAATGAATATTTTTTTCATGACTTATCGATCATGAAGTAGAAGAGGAACTTGAAAAAATCAGCGGATAGCTTTTATTAATGGCTTTTGCTCTGTCTTCCTTAAAATAATATAGTTCAGGAGAAACAAAACACACGAAAATGCTTTCTAGAAATCTTGTGTCTTCACAAAAGACAAGCGTATGCAGTATGCTACCAATTTTTGTTCTCGTTTCATCGTTGTTTTTAACGTTTTGGGGAGGGAGTCGGGGCTGGAGTTAATTATCTAGGGCCCTATTGTACAAAAAATTAGGAATTTAAGATATAACAGCGGTAACAGTGACATCAGACGAGTGCAGAGTTTTGTCAACGTTTCGAGGTTTTGAAGATTTGAGAAGTGGGTATTAAAAGAAAGAAAGGGAAAAAAGGAGAAAAAGGAAGAAAAAAAGAGGGTAGAGGAAAATGAAAGAAAGCGAGAAAAAAAAAAAAAGGTAAAGGCAAAACAAACTGCTCATCAGTTATTTTCTTTGGACAAGGAAAAGAAACCGAGTTCCTAACGTACTGGAAAGTGCCTGAAAGCTACATGTGGCTCAAACAATCGAGACTCAAGGTCACGTTTATGCATAAAATATCATGCATGACTGCATCATTAACAGTTACGAAACTGAAACTCGAAACTGAAAGCCACGCCGACGAACAGAAAGAAAGATGCTGTGTTGACCTTTCATGATTATAAGCTAAAACTTCGAGTGGAGGCACTTTCTCAGCATTTTGAGAGTGAAGTAAATCCTGCATTCACGCCAAGAGATCTCATCTGAGATGGCGTCGTCAGAAAATGAGACTATCTATTTGGATCATATCCATCCAAAACCTGAAAATCTTGGAGAACAACTCTCCATTACGGGAAGCAGAGATCTACTGACAGCTGCCAATCGTTCTTCTAGATCCCGCCGAAGAGTTATGGTCATTCTTGTTGCTATTGCAGTGGCAATTTCTGCAATCATCGCGGCATTGTTCATTGGAAAATACGTTTCAGAATACCTTAGTGATGATAACATGAAAAGTAAGTATCAGATGTCACTCAAGTTTTGCTATTTATTCAGAAGTCAACAATAAAAAACAAACATATTGGAACAAAACAGAGAAGTTGGTCGAAATTTCAGCATATCGATGTGTCATTGTCGATGTCCTCAGTAATAGAAAGTAATCATCTTATTTTCACATAAAGCTAAAAGCTAGCGGATAAAATTAATCAATAGATGTATGGACAAGACGATAAAGTATTCAGTTTGATCATGTAAATGGTAAGCATTAAAGAAGGAAACATGTAGGAGCACTTTCGTTCGCGTTGTCCAAACCCCGCCAGATTTATTTTTCAAATTCGATATCAAAAGCTTCGTAAATTTAAAAAATACCAATTCTACAAAAAAGTCATAAAGCTGGCGTTTTTGTCCTCTCATCAATGTTAGGGTAAGAGCGATAAGTTTTAAATGTGCTTTGGAAATCAAAGAGGCAAGCGATCCGTTGACAGAACATGCACGAGCACATAAAAAGCTGCGAGGCTACTTAAGAACATTCCAGCGGTAAAATTTCAGTTTTACAGTGTTATCTGCCTGTTTGAATTACCCAGTGGTTACCCAAGCGTGCGTTCCTACAAAAGTGAAGTAGGCTCCCGAATACAACCAAAAGTTACAAAATGGCCAATAAGTAGCAGATAACCATTGTTCCAGTTGTTTTCTTAATACCTAGTTTCATCAGTTAGCTTTAGATTAGTAATAAATTGGTCCTTTTATGGAGCCTGGGAAAAAATCCACGTCATTCCAAGCATTTTTAAAGAAGTCATGTGCAGTTCAATTTTGGGATCATTTGCGATCCGGATTAACTTTTTACAAAAACTTTTTTAAAACTTTTTCTTAAATAATAAACAGCACTGCATGAAATGAGATGCTAAAAACTTGCCTCATTCTCCTACGCGTCCTATTTGACAACAGCAGGAGTTTATAAAAGTAGGCAAATAAGTTTGCTCAGTGAAGTGAAATGAAGCAAAAGTATGACAAAAGTGTTCTACATGCGTGACATTTTGAAGACGTTACATATAAGAGTACGCGTTGTGTATGGTGGTCAAAGATTAAGAACTAAATCTACGAGCTGAGTTCTTGTAAGTTTTGCACACGAATTTCGGTTCTTGAGTCCATGCTATTTTGATGTAGAAGGCAGAAATAGCAACTCTTATTTCACTTTAATGGCGTAAGGTGTCACGATGACAAATGGCAAGTTAAGTAGATTAATTTACTTTTCTGATACTTTGTTTTCTTTAACTCTAGATTGCACTGAATTATAAATTCTTCGGACAACAATCAGGCTAAAACGATGTCATATTTCCTCCCAGGGTTAAAGTTAAAATGAATGCTTTCATAAAAAAATTCATCTCTTGTGTTGTTCCTCCATTAAGCTACCTTTTTCTACATTTACTTGTGTCCTCAGGCATCGACGAGTGCAGCACTGGAAGCTATGTATGTGACATAAATGCAAACTGTACTAACACTGACGACTCTTATATCTGCGCCTGCAAGGAAGGATACACCGGAGACGGGCATTCATGCCAAGGTATAATCATTGCATTTGACCTAACAAATAGCGGAATAAAGTTTCCCACAAATATAAAAACTCTTTCCATTAAAACTTAGAAATCTGATGTTTTTCTCTCTGTCTAGTAACGTCTTGGCAATTCGTTTTTGTTCACAGATGTCAATGAGTGTAGCGATGGCAACCATGTTTGCGATGTTAATTCGAATTGTAACAACACAAATGGTTCTCATATTTGTACCTGCAAAGAAGGATACGCTGGAGATGGACAGTCATGTCAAGGTGAATACGAGTAGTCCACACTGCTAAAAACAAACAGCTTTGCTCCTAAGCTATTGCCCATGAAAATTAGCCCACATTTTAGAGGCCTGTTTTGACGCACCACTATCGTATTTCTATTAAATTACCTTTTATACATCACTGACGCTGCTAGATATCGACGAATGCAGCAAAGGAAGCCATGATTGTGACATAAATGCGCACTGCACCAACACTGATGGCTCCCATAGCTGCACCTGTAAGGAAGGATACACTGGAAAAGGTGAATCATGCCGAGGTAAAATTAGATTAGACTTTGAAAAAAAAAAGCAGAATAACTGTTCATCACAAATAATTGCCTTGTCATCCAAACAAACTGGCTAAAGATTTTTTTTCTCTATTCAATTACCCATTGAAAATCTTTTGTGTTCACAGATGTTAATGAATGCAACGATGATGTTTGTGATGCTAATACTAACTGTACCAACACTGTTAAGAATATATGAAAGTCAAATATTTGAACTGCAGATAAACGCGTAAATGAAAGTGATCCTCGCAGTAATGTGTACTACTTAGGCAGTAGTGGAAATAAGGCCTGTACGGGATTTGAACACATGACATGTTGGTTCTAAATAAACCCGTGAAGTGATGAATAAACGGTTAAGAATATATGAAAGTCATATATTCGAACTGCGGATAAAGACGTGGATGAAAGTGATCCTCGCAGGAAAGTGCACTACTTAGGCAGTAGTGGAAATAAGGCCTGTAAATAATTCAGGCTTGTACGGGATTTGAACCCTTAACTTTTGCGATACCGGTGCAGCGCTCTACCAACTGAGCTAACGAGCCAACTGGGAGCGGGTCATGATGTTGATTCTAAATTTTTACCAACACTAATGGTTCACATAATTGCATATGTTAGGAAAGATACATTAGAGATGTACAGTCTTGCCAATGTAGATTAGAAAAGCGACACCTTATGTCGAGCAAAGCACCTTTCCATAACCAGAATTGTCTTCGTAACTGGGCTAACGATCAAGAGGCAACGCAATGGTTTTCACACCCCGACCTCGTGTTTCTATTAAGTTACGGATATCATAATATGCATAGATACACAATTTTTGCTGGTTTAAAATATAATACGTGCGGATATTTTACGAGTGGCCAAAAGTGTTTCCGAGCCCAGAAGGAACGAGGATAAAAGAAGGCATAAGCATGAGATATATCATACCACCATTACCTGGAATATTTTTCTCGAATATGCGGCGACGCTCGGATAACCACCCCCCCCCCCCCCCCAACCCTTCTCCTCCCTCAGTTTTTTAAATAGTATAGATACAAGGAAAATCTGTTTCTACTGCCACATTTTTTTATATAACTTTTCAACCTTCGACAACAGCGCAATCAGTACAGCAGAATAATTTTTTTTCCATACGAAATTTTTCTATGTTCATGAGTTTGCAGAGTTCCTTTATGTATTATCTATTATTTTGATTTTATGTCCTACTCCTAAGGTAATTTAAGAAGCGCCCCTCTCGACTAATCGATGACGCACCCCCCTACAAATAAGTGCCCACCCCTCCCCCCCCCTCAGTTTTAGCCGAAATTTTCAGTAAGTGCCTAAGCGCTCATTGAAAATGTCTAATATTTCAATTATTAAAGTATACACAGTATCGCTTGAGGAACTAGACATGTATCTTGCGGGGTTTATTCGCTCTTTTCGACTTAGAGACAGAGAATATTATGAACCTTCAGGCTTAATATGCCTTGTTTCAAGTTCTGAGAGGTACTTTGATATTTTTTGCTTGCTTTCAGTATGTTGCATTATTTCTATCGAGAAGGGAAATTTATGTGGCTATTATCTTTCATGATCGATTTATAAACCATTGTCTGTTTGACAATTAAATGCTATAAAGGACGAATTTACTCTCCTTATGTAATGTATACTATATAATAAACCTAATACATCACATATAGTCAGTCCGTACGGTATATAAACAATCGTTGCTTTATATCAAACATCTCACTCGTTTGCTGCGTTCACTCCCTCGACTTTCGATACTACGATCTCGCGCGTAAATACCATAAAGAAAGACTTTGCACGAATTATTCTATTTATATCATATGTACTACCAGATATCGATGAGTGCCTCAATAGAAGCCATGCTTGTGACGTGACTGCGAATTGTACCAACACTGACGGCTCCCACATCTGCACCTGTAAGGAAGGATACACTGGGGACGGACACTCATGCCACGGTATAATCATCACATAAGACTTTGCAAATAGCAGAATGAAGTTTCCCACAAATAAAAACAAAACTCTTTCTTTGAAAACTCAGAAATTTGATGTTTGTCTCTGTCAAGTAACGTTTCGGCAATTCCTTTTTGTTCTCAGATGTCAATGAGTGTAGCGATGGCAACCATGTTTGCCATGTCAATTCGAATTGTAACAACACAGATGGTTCTCAAATTTGTACTTGCAAGGAAGGATACAATGGAGACGGACAGTCATGTCAAGGTGAATAAGAGTTGCCTACACTAATTAAAACAAGCAGCTTTGCACATAAACTATCGCCCATGGAAATTAGCCACATTTTAGAGGCCTGTTTTCACGCACCACTGTCATATTGCTATGGCGTTACCTCTTATACATCACTTATGCTTCTAGATATCGATGAATGCAGCAATGGAAGCCATGATTGTGACGTGAATGCGAATTGTACCAACACTAATGGTTCCCATAGCTGCACCTGTAAGGAAGGATACACTGGAAAAGGAGAGTCATGCCAAGGTAAAATTAAATTAGACTTAGAAAAAAGCAAACCTTTCATCAGAAATAATTGCCTTGTTATCCGACAAACTGGCTAAGATTCTATTCAGTTACCCTTTGCAAATCTATTATGTTCACAGATATTGATGAATGCAACGATAATAGTCATGTTTGTGATGGTTCATATAATTGCATCTGTAAGAAAGGATACATTATAAATGGACAGTCTTGCCAACGTAGATTAGAAAAGCGATACTTCATGTCGAGCAAAGTAGTTTTTCATAATTAGTATTGTCTTCGTAACTGAGGTTATGATCAAGAAGCAACTTAATGATTTTCACGCCCCGACCTCGTATTTCTATTAAGTTACGGGTTTCATTATATGCATGCATTCACATTTTACCAAGATTTAAAATATAATACGCGCAGATATTTTACGAGTTGCCTGATATTTTTCCGAGCGCGAAAGGAACAAGGATAATTAAGAGCAATGAGCAAGATTTTCTCTCGTATTATTTGATAAACCATCGAATATGTGATTTATTATTAGTTCCTCACTTTTTTAAATAGTATAGATAGAAGGAAAAATCTCTTTGTACAGCCACACTTTTTTTATAACTTTTCAACCTTCAACAACAGCGCAATCAGTACAGCAGAATAATTTTACTTTCAATTTCAGATTTTTTTAAATCTTCATGTGCTTTCAGAGTTCCTCTACGTATTATCTTTTATTTTGATTTTGATGTCCTATTGCTGAGATAACTTAAGGCGGGGTTCCACCTAAAAAAGTGACATTTTTGCATCACTTGTGACAGCTATGATTTTCATCAAAATTATAGCACACTATACATCATTAGAAAGCTATCGGCCTGAAGATTATGAAAATGTGTATTTGAATGCGGTATTTTTTTTGTAACCTGATACCAAACCCCTTAAATAGCACATGCTGTGGCTGACCTGGACCTACTTGAGAAAGGATTTTTTACATATAGTTTCACATGAAACATGTATTTTTACTATTTTTCTCAAGTAAACAGATTGCTTACTGGGATGAATGAAGGACTTTGCAAAATTTCAAAATGTGAAGCCTCAACACCCATCTAAAGTTGCGCAATCAAAATTAGGAAGCATTTCTTAAAATAACCTTTTTTCTAAACACTTATGACAAATTCCTTCATTCATCACAACTAACTCAGTGAGACCCAGCTAACCTGAAAATTTCAGGTCAATAACTCAAATCCCTCTTGAGTTATCTCTTCTCAAAGGCAAAAATGCCGCATTTTGAGAAACGTAGCCTTAAACTTCAGAAATGAAATAATTTGGACGGGACTGCATAGGTACTTGATGCGTTTCTTTTGTAACCATTCCCAACAGAAGGAAAAGCACTATCATATTTTACCAACACAATCAATCCTTGTATGAAAAAGAGATGAATGTAGGCCTAAAGAAAATGGTGATAATGACACATTTGTATTCAATAAACATTCAAAAATCTCAACTGGCAAAGGGAGACTTGATGGAAGGGCTTACAGGACAGAACAACGTAGTTGAAATTGGGGGAACCGAGAAAAAGTCTGGTGAGTGGTAACATGAAGGGCCTGTCTCTAGAACCACAAGACAGAAAGACTAAGGTTCCCAAGCTTATGCGCGGCAAATTTTTCTCAATTAATTTTTTTAATGCTTATGATTTTACAGATATTGACGAGTGTAAAGGAAGTCACTCTTGTCACGTGAATGCTACATGCACGAACACCCTTGGATGACATGTATGTCAATGTCACGCTGGATATACTGGAAATGGACAAAACTGCACAGGTGAATTTAATCTCTTCGCTACAATATGTAGAACAGTCCTGCATGTCACGTTCGACTACAGTGCTGCACCATTCAGCCGTGTTGCAAGATAATTAGACAATTTATTACTAAGAAATTCGGTCATTTTGTCCTCATTTAATATATAGTGAATAATACCCAGGTTCCCGCTGACTTGGAATTTCTCTTCGAGTGTTCAACTGGCTACCTCATGAGTGAGAGCAGCAAACTAGTGAGGTATCGAGTAAGAGAATAATATATAGATTTAGCCAAGCCTAAAAGCGGTGATGTGATTAGCTATACGAACACAATAGGCCTTTACTGAGAATATAAGGCGACTTTTTGAAAAGAATGATATAATAGGTTTCACAATCCGCGAAAAAAAGTCGTAGTCGTATATCTCACTCGTGTAACCACTAACGTTGTATAATTTTTCTTCTCTTTCCCATTTTTTTAGATATTGATGAATGCCAAAAAAATACTCACAATTGTCACCTGAACGCTACTTGTCAAAACATAAATGGATCCTTTATGTGCACCTGTTTATTTGGATTTAACGGAGATGGACGGAACTGCACAGGTAAAGGCCTTTAGATGGTAATTGCCTCGTTATGATCTTACTTGTTTGTTTGTGTTTGTATTTTTAATTGTTTGTTTAATTTGTACGTTCCTTCATTGTTTGTTTGTTTATTTTGATAAAGTAGTTACCCTTGCCTTAATATTTTTGACCAATGGTAGAAAATGAAAATCTTTAATCCCAATTGAAAGCAAGAGGATGAAATACACTCAGTGTTTCAAATAAGAAGGTTTACACATGTATCATGCTCCAAGAATCGTGATTGAAAGCCTGTGATTTCTCAGATATTGACGAATGGGCAAGAAAATCTTTCTTGTCATGTGAATGCTAACTGTACCAACACAATTGGATCACATGTATGTACATGCCACACTGCATACACTGGAGATGGACAAACTTGCTCAAGTGATTTTGATAACTTCCCTTTAATGTCCAGAAAAGCCCTTTATGACGGAAGAGGGGCAACCTCCATTGCTGCTCTTTCTATACGTACAATCCCAGCTACTCAAAGTGGGAGGTAATCTGAAACGTCTTTTTAGCTCAAATTATAAGACTGGAAGTAATCAAACATTTATCCTAAAATTCATCCCTCATTAAAAATTGTGGATTGTTTTGTTTTGTTTTGTCCCACATCCTTTGAGACTAGATTTGCAGTATTTTGGAAAGGTATTCATTATGTCTTGATTCGCCAAAACATTTTTCATCATAACATCTAATTCTGGGTTGTGACGTGGTGCACTTGATCCCCATCAGACATTGACGAGTGCTCACAAATGAACATGTGCGATAAGAACGCCTCTTGCAGTAATACCCAGGGCTCCTACAGTTGCGCCTGTAATCCTAAATACATTGGGGATGGTCGGAATTGTAAAGGTTAGTCTCTTTTAATCCATGCCTTATATATTTTTTAAAGATGGTACTGGCTGAACTCGCTGCAAATAATGTTGAGTGAATGGCTATTCTTGTTTGGCCATGTAACAAATCACGTTAGTTTTTAGTACCTTTAGTTTGCTTGGAAACGTCCTTCGACAAAACATTGGGGATAAAGAAAGATAGATTTGATTTTTTATATCATATTTTTGGACTTGATGTGCATTGTTTTTGTCCACAAGGAGAGAAAATAATTTATTCTTGGCGATGCATAAATGTTCTGCAAATGTAATTATATTGATGATGTCTCAATTAAACAGAATAGTCTGATTGGTTAAAATCGATGTTCACCGCAGTTACGATTTTCTCACTCTGACCTAATAAGGTAATTCCTCAGAAAGAAAAAAAGACATCTAACAATTTTTTTAGTCTGCCTTTAAATGTTTCCTACCAATGGCTGTTTCGAAAAATGCAATAAGAAAGGCAGGTCACCTTGCTTGTTTGAGAGAAATGACGGGCAACACTTACCTCATTTATGCCTCTACTAGCAATTTTTCCCGCGCGTCATTTCAAGGTACATTTTTCGGTAGCTGGAATCAAGGGATTTCGAAGTAAAAATTAAAAGAAAAAACTTAAAAGGTACAAAGTCTCGAGCGTGTGGAAAAATTGATATGTAATTTGTGGAAATTATTTATATATATTAGTAATTATTATCACTCAAAACGCTCCTCACGTCGTTGTTTTCAAGGTAATGATTTTCATCATCAAGTATGGGGCTTTGTGCACGTTTTTAGCTGTCTTCTTTTTTTTTTTTTTTTTTTTTTTTTGCCTTCGACAATTTTTTTAATTTCTCCAAGTTGAAGGGGAAGATTTGTACAAAAAATTATGCAATGAAAAATAGAGGTCACCCCGCTCGTTCAAGAGCTAAAGAGCATTGTGCCTGTTTGCATGGTCCATTTATTGAAAAGCAATACCGTGTTCTCGGAATGCGTGCGCTTACTTGCCTGATTACGTGATTTGTATTCGCAGTACAGGATGCCCAGTGCAGTACTGAGGAATCACCTTTAGACTAAATAGCAAGATTCAGTTTGGTTTTTTTTTTTTAATCTAAGTAGTAATTAATGAAAGAATATTTGTCTAAATAAGGAAAACGTAGACAAATTTGAGTGTAGCCGACAAAACTACGAGCATAGCAACTTGACTTTTTACAACGCGAATTTTTGTCAGATGCACGATTTGATTGGCTATTAGGAACACTATCGTCCAGAGCATGTGTTGATAAAATATTTATCAGTCATGTTATAAACAAACAACATTTACCTTTGATAGAAATAATAGAGATGGTAAGTTTTGAGCTCGATGAAGAATTAAGAAAGATGTTTTTTCGTCTTGTCACGAGCGTGGGATAAAGAAAAATTCTGAGTCCCCATGAGGAATCGAACCTCAGACCTTCGGATTTGCGCTCCGATGCTCTACCACTGAGCCACCAAGACTCTTCGATGAGCGAGATTTATTATGAAGTTCTTATAACACGCGTCCTGCATACTGCTGGGATCAGCAATGTCGACAGCGTAATGTTTTTGATGGAAATAGTAGAGATGGTAAGTTTTGAGCTCGATGAAGAATTAAGAAAGATGTTTTTTCGTCTTGTCACGAGCGTGGGATAAAGAAAAATTCTGAGTCCCCATGAGGAATCTTCTTCACCGAGCACAAAACTTATATAGGTTTCACAATCCACGAAAAAAAAAGGCGTAAAGCGCATCGGCGATAACGCTCAAGATGAATATATGCGTTGAACCATTACAGAAACAGACAATGGGCGTAGCTTTCTTTTTACAAAATTCTCAGTTGTTGACTTTTTCCTTACCGACAAAACAAATTTTTTCATGTACACGCCCGAAATCGGCCTGTGGCAAATCTTTCAGTTGTCGATTTTCGTTCTCAACCACGAGAAATACCATTACCCAGGTCGAGGACCTAACTTTAGGTTTTTCTTTTCGTATTTTGTTTTACTTCCCCTTCTAAGAAATTTTGAGTGACATTGTCTGTTAGAAATACGAATTTTTCTTTGTTTTTTTTTAGCAGCCATAATTCAAGAAAATTTCAACATACGACCCTGGATTGAGAACGGTCAACGCTTTGCCATTCATTTATTAACCTGACACAGCTGATTGTGAAATTAAACACATGTAAAAAATTATCGTAATATTACACACGTGTTTAACAAGAATTTCCCAGCTCTTCTCCGGGCGGGAAATCGTTTTAAACCATCGCAGTTTATATAATAGCGTTTTTTTTCTTAAGCTTCCTTATAACGAAATATATTAAACATCGCATTAACCGAAATTCAACCTTTTAGCCGATCCGTGCTATAATTACATAAACCTGAGCGATGCTGACAGAAAGAGTACTTACAACACACCCTATGGTGGAGAAAAATGTGACGACGATTCCTCATCCATAATATTCGGGAATTGGTATCGTTTCGTGGGAGATGCAGGAACAAAAATGCCAACCCAGTGCGTACCGAATCATAGATGTGGTGCGGTCTTCTCAGGCTGGCTAAAAGGTGGTCACCCCACATTGGCAGATGGTGAGGTTTTCTCCGAGGTCTGCTTTACCAGAGGTGGAGATTGTTGCAAGAAATCAATGAATATTAAAGTGAAAGACTGTGAATCCTACTTTATTTACAAACTACGAAAGGTATATTCTTGTGATCTGCGTTACTGTAGCACAGACTAAATGCTATAAGCAAGTTATTCTGCACAGCGAAATGATTCACAAATCGATTTATTGGCACATGTATATTATTGTATAACAGGGACTTTCAGAATTTCACATGATCCACATTTTATGATTAGTGTTAAATAGTGAATAGTTGGAACAGAAGACTACCTTTGGACGGCGCAGTTTGATCTTAGTAGAGTAGGAGTACTCCTGAGAAGTTGTGACAGAAGGTTGTCAGTAATAGTGACTAACGTTTCTATAACCTCAGCGGAAATCATCATCAGAGTCGATTCAACAATTGTTGTTTATCCGAGTGTTAGAACACACTCCCCCACGTGGCAAATTTAAACAACTATGGGCATTAGTGAGCTTTCCAATAATCTTAGTATCACCTATATCTATTCCAATCGAAGAGCTTCACTAAGTAAGTTTTAAGCACAACTTTGAGCATTGTATTTTGCTTATTACAAAACGCTTTGGACTCTTGATGTTTACTCAGGTCGTTAGAGACTAAAGCAGCTTTTAATACCCATCCATTCTGGGCATGTAATTGTTATTCTGTCGGCAGTCCGTGATTATGAGCCAGTTGTTTATTATGTTCGGTCATGCTTTCATTGGCATCATTATTTACAAGGATTTTTAAGTCGCATTAGGTGTGTTGTGGATAGAGACTGTAAATAATTTCAAAAATTATCAGTCTCTATGACATTCATACCCAAACTTTCTGATGACATAGCTTGGAAAACTAGAACATTCTATTAGGTATGTAATTATGAT